GCAAGAGGAAAGTGTCTCGTCCTGCGTGAGTGCGTTTCGGCCTTGCGTATCCTGACCCAACGGACTGCTTGCGAGGTGTGGTGCGTCGTCCATGTGGTAACCAACATGTTCGATTCGTTTCGACCCTGCGCCTCCTGACCCAACGGACTGCTTGTGAGATGTGGTGCGTCGGCTATGTGGCAACCGACAAGTCCGAAAGCCAAAACGCCCATCCCCAGGACGAACGGTTTTTCCTTCCTGGGCCCGGAACGACGGTTCGAAGTCTTATTTGAAGTCTGGAACAAACGCGTAGGGGTTAACCGCCATCGGGCCCCATGAAGGTCGAGCGGGTCACATTGAGGATATGGTTTCTATTTTGGTGGATCCGATTTCCGTCCGCGCGGATCCGATTTCGGATTTTCTGGATCCGCGTACGGGCCTATTTTTTAAGGCGGATTCGATTTTTTACCCCGTTTTAAATATATAAATTACATTAAAGCGAGGAACCGGACGAATCGGATCCGCGGACCCCGGAAACCCACCCGTGTCATGATTCAGATGTGGTGCGTCGGCGATGTGGTAACCAACAAATCCGAAGGCCAAAACGCCCATCCCCAGGACGATGTTTTTCCTACTGGGCCCGGAACGACGGTTCGAAGTCTTGTTGGAAGTCTTGAGCGAACGCGTATGGGATAACCGCCGTCGGACCCCATGAAGGTCGAGCGGGTTCAATTGCGGTTATGGCTGTATCTTGGTGGATCCGATTTCCGTCCGCGCGGATCCGATTCCGGATTTTCTGGATCCGCGCACAGGCCTATTTTTTACGGCGGATCCGATTTCTACCCCGCTAACGTCCCACAATGGGTCTTGTGCTGTCTCGCGCGCTCCCGTTAACTTTCCGCGCGCGGAGGCCCTACTCAACATGAATGCGTATCTCTCCTCTGGGACGAGCTGCACGCAGCTCGTCCAAACGCCGTCCGTTCGGCGGTGCCGGTGTTATCTGTCGAGCTCATCATCGCCATTTTCACCTCAAGAGGAACATCTCTCGTCCTGCGTAAGTAGATGCTTAGTAGATGCTTCCCTCCCACCTCATAGTATCCCCCCAACCTCCGATCCATAATCTCGAAAGCCTACCCTCCCCAGTACCTATGTGGCCAAGCAGTCTGGCGGGTCTGATATGGTAGTGTCACGTCCTCCTCTCTTCCTGCTCAGCCGGCAATGGCAAGGCCGAGGGCCCCGCGAAGTTGCGGTGTAAGCGGCGCCCCGCGCGCCGTGGATACCCCGCCTCGCCATACACAGCGCTGTATGTCGCCCTTGTGCCTCACCGGTTCCTTCCCGGACCTGGGGTCTTCGGACCAATGGGCCAGCCCGTGATCCGCGCCTCGAACAAAGAACCGGAGCGGCGCCCGACCCGCCAGGGGCGTCGCCGGAAGCGCCGTCGAGGGGATCTAGCGCCGATCGAAGGAATCCGCCCGGACCTCCGACAGTCGGTCCATGTGCATGTCCTTTTGTTTTTTCCCCAACCATCCTGTGGTGTTGGGTCCTCGTTTTGAAGAGACGGTGACCCGCGTTCTCCTCCTCCTTCCTTCCTCATCCTCCTCCTCCTCCTCCTCCTCCTCCTCCTCCTCCTCCTCCTCCCTCATCCCCCTCCTTGCCTTTGCTCTTCGCATGTCCCTGTTTCGGTACACCCCTCACACGCTTCGTGGCCCCAGTGCCACCGCCCCATTGTGGTACACCCCATTGTGGTACACCCCTCACACGTTTCGTGGCCCCATAGGGAGCTCCACCGAAGGCCCCAGTGCCACCGCCCGCATGGCGCCGCCGCCCATTGTGGCACACCGCTCACACGCTTCGTGGCCCCATAGGGAGCTTCATCTAAGGTCCCAGTGGCACCGCCCGCATGGCGCCGCCGCCTCATACAAGTACACCCCTCACACGTTTCGTGGCCCCATAGGGAGCTCCACCGAAGGGCCCAGTAGCGCAGGCCGCATGGCGCCGCCGCTCCATTTTGGCACACCCCTCACACGTTTCGTGGCCCCATAGGGAGCTCCATCTAGGGTCCCAGTGGCGCAGCCCGCATGGCGCCGCCGCCCCCTTTTGGCACACCCCTCACACGTTTCGTGGCCCCATAGGGAGCTCCATCTAGGGTCCCAGTGGCGCAACCCGCATGGCGCCGCCGTTCCATTCGGCCACACCACTCACACGTTTCGTGGTCCCATAGGGAGCTCCACCTAGGGTCCCAGTGGCGCAGCCCGCATGGCGCCGCCGCCCTATTTTGGCACACCCTTCGCACGCTTCGTGGCCCCATAGGGAGCCCCACCTAAGGTCCCAATGGCGCAGTTCGCATGGCGCCGCCGCCAAATTTGGCAAACCCCTCACACGGTTCGTGGCCCCACAGGGAGCTCCACCGAAGGCCCCAGTGGCGCAGTTCGCATGGCGCCGCCGCCCCATTTCGGACACCCTTCACACGTTTCGTGGCCCCATGGGGAGCTCCACCGAAGGCCCCAGTGCCACCGCCCGCATGCGTCACACACACACACACACACACACACACACACACACACACGCACACACAATTCGGCACACCCCTCACACGGTTCGTGGCTCCATAAGGAGCTCCACCGAAGGCCCCAGTGCCACCGCCCGCATGCGTCACGCACACCGAAGTCGGTACACCCCTCACACGGTTCGTGGCCCCATACTGAGCTCCACCGAAGGCCCCAGTGCCACCGCCCGCATGCGTCACGCAAACCCAATTCGGCACACCCCTCACACGTTTCGTGGCCCCCCCATAGGGAGCTCAACTGAAGGCCCCAGCGCCACCGCCCGCATGTGTCGTGTCACGCACACCCAATTCGGCACACCCTTCACACGCTTCGTGGCCCCATAGAGAGCTCCACCGAAGGCCCCAGTGCCACCGCCCGCATGCGTCACGCAAACCCACTTCGGCACACCACTCACACGTTTCGTGGCCCCATAGGGAGCTCCACCGAAGGCCCCAGTGCCACCGCCCGCATGCGTCCCCCCCGCACACACACACACACACACACACACACACACACACACACGCACACGCACACGCACACGCACACGCACACGCACACGCACACGCACACGCACACACACACACACACACACACACACACACACACGCACACACACAGAATTCGGCACACCCCTCACACGCTTCGTGGCTCCATAGGGAGCTCCACCGAAGGCCCCAGTACCACCGCCCGCATGCGTCACGCACACCCAATTCGGCACACCCTTCACACGTTTCGTGGTCCCATAGGGAGCTCCACCGAAGATGATAATTACAACTGCGTCCACATGCTTCCGCCACACCCATTTCGGTACACCCTTTACACGCTTTTTGACCGCATAGCCTTACAGGAAGCTTCACCGAAGGCTCCGTGATTCTTTCAATACGGGGTCCCTGGTGTTCCCGGGTGGTCCCGACAACTTCCTTTGGGCCGGTTCGCCGTCCTCGGTTGAGTTCTGCTGGTTTTGGTGGCCCCGCCCCGAGAGAGCGACGGGCGGCACGAGGACTTCTTCGCGTCACCAACGTCGTTCTCGCCGCCGCCGCCGCCGTCCCTCCCTCGCGTCCTATCGTCCTAGCGGCGACTGCAGCGGGTGCGGCGAGGCCGAGGAACAAGACGAAGTTCATGGGACCCCTTTGGGGCTACCGGCGTGCGTCGCGGGGACTCCGTGCGGCGCCGCGCCCGCAGCTTCGGACATGGGCGTGCACGGGCAAAGAGAGAGAGAGAGAGAGAGAACAAAAAAAAAAAAAAAACGGGAAGGAAGCGGGCGCGATCCTCGGGAGGAGCGTGCCGACATGGGCGTCGACGTTTATGCACGTAGATTGATTCGCGCGCAGACTCATTCACAATCAGACCTATCGTCTTCGCTCGGGTTGTGTGCCCCGCTACGCATGTCGGCACGCCCCTCACACGGTTCGTGGCCCCATAGGGAGCGCGGGGCAAAGATGAGATTCATCATTGCGGTATTCACAGCTGCACAATGTTGGGTCCTTCGCCGGGATAATTTGAATGGACGCCTCTCCGAAGCAAACGATGTCAGGGGAAACATTAGGGGGCAGAATTCGGCTCCGAGGGTGGCGCATCGTCAACCCCCAATCGCCCGCTCGTCTCCGATAGGGGCCCGATGGCCCACCCCGCCCCGCCCAGGAACGTGCGGATTTGCCATCGGGGGCCTATAGCTGATGTATCGGCGACGCGTTGCAGATTCCAGGTCGATATTCCCCCCCTGAGCTGGCCTCCCCCTAACGTTGCCCCCCAGGAGGGGTCCCCTGAAGGCAGCAGGGCTCCTGAGATGCCCCGCTGCCTTCTGAGAAGGCCTGCCCCCGCTCGGACGCCAGGTTGGCTTCGGGGTCGTAACTCGGCTCCCCCCGCGGCCGTCCCGGGCGATCTGGGCACCCTCGGAACGCCCTCGACGAGGCGCAGCCGCTGGAACGCACCCCGAGGCCTGGAAGCCGCCGAGGAGCGACGAAAGCGCCCGAAACTTCAAACCTCGAGCCTGGAACTTCCCCGAGTGCTTCTTGTTCCCTAGACCCAGTGTTCGCTCACAGTTCGCAGCGCGTTGCCAGCAGGGTCCTCTGTGGAGCCTGTGAGGCAGCTGACTGCGGAGGCGAGGAAGCGCTGCTGCAGTCCCGCCCATCCCGCTTGCGCCAACTGTGCACGCAACTGTCTCGCCAGACAACGAGCTCTGTACGAGGATCAGCCCAGGCGGAAGCCCTGCGCGGCTCGCTATAATCACATTATCGCGTCCACACTTCCGCCCCGTCAGATATGGGGCGACGTTCGCGCGGCGACGCTCCGACGAGAGCCCGACGAAACCCGACATAATCCCAGGGGGAACCCGGAGCAATTCCGACGCAAATCCGTTGCAAATTCGGTCCCGGGTTGCCGCGCGGAACATCCAGCTCAACGATTCGGGGTCGACAGATTCCCCCCCCGCGGCGCACCGCCGATCCAGCCACCGCCGCCGGGCACCCCGCCGAGGCCCCACCGGCTAGTGGCGAGGCTGCTGCGGCAGCTTCTGCTCGCCCTGGAGCACTTGGCGGCCTGCGGCATCGAGCACCAGGTCGGCGCCGCTCCTCTCAAAAATCGTCGTCGTCGTCGTCGTCGTCGCCGTCATCGCCCTCCGATCCTCTCGCGGAGACTCTCTCGCCTTTATCGTTTCATAACATCATGCTTATCGTATTGCTGCCCGCCAGCCGTCCCTGCCTCTCTCGGCCGTCGAAGCGGCAGGGATCATCGACGCTGTCCGTCTGGCCGCCCGCCTACTCACCAGAGGCAGGCGGAGGCACTTCCTTTCCCGCACCCATCTCGACAGCACCGTGATGGAGGCGCGTGGGGTGGGCGGGTGGGCAGGAAGTTTGGGACTCGCCTCGGCCACGCTCCGCCTCCTCCTCCTCCTCCTCCTCCTCCTCCTTCTCCTCCTCCTCTTCCTCCTCCCCCATCCTCCTTCTCGCCCTATTCCGCCCCGTGGTCAGGATGATCTGCCTTCTGTTCAGGCGTCATCTGCACAGCCTGGGGGCCGTCGCCGATGAGGTCGCTATCGGGACGGGGAATGCGGTGAAAGCCTTCGTTTCCAGCATGCGCGTTTGGGGTATCGCTGGTCTTGGGATGGGATGATCCATGAATGTGTCCACGACGGTGATGGTCCTGCTGGGCCTCTTTGCGGAACGGTTCCTTCAAGCAGTGAAGGAGCACGGACCCCAAGCGCCAGGTATCCAGTTTCCCTCTCACGGTCGGTATCTGGGGATTCAGTTGGGACCGATCAGCGTCCAGGCCTCTTAGTGAGGAGGGTTTAGATGATTCGCGGCCTCGGGCTGGGCCCAATCAGGTCGGCTGCGCAGTACAAGCATTTGTTTTCTCAGTCCTGACTTTCCTCTGCCAGATGTTGCCCCCCACCGCCCGCGGATTGAAGCTCGAGAGAGAATGGCTCTAGGAGCTCACGGCTGGACCCAAGCAGTGCCATTACCGCGACCACGCTGGAACGGTTGACGCGAATTGGTTTCCCGTGAGGCGCCCGATCGCTGGAAAAAGCTGGCATGGCCCCCATGTGCCGTGCTGCTGCGTACTCGCCAGCTTTTTTCGAGATAGCCCGGGAACTCGAACAGTTCTTGGTCGAAGACGACTGTGTGATCTTGTGGCGAGAACACCCGCGGTGAAAGAGCAGTGTCGCATGTGCCAGCATTGGAAATTACAACTTCATGATCAGCGTGCCCAGGTACGCACGTTTGAGACCACTTCCAGAACAAAGGAACGTTTCCTTCGTGATGTATTCCACCGCTCCGTGAAGCCAATACTTTTCTCGCGTCGTAAGAGATCATAATTGCCTTGTCTAATGATGCAACATATAGCGAACATGTCCTCCCTCAAGTTTCTCCCATCTGTGCCCTGGCTCATTCCGAATTCATGTCCAGCAGTTTTCCGTTATTCGTGATATCGCCCTTCTCTCGATCGCGCTGTAACCAGACAAATGTTTCTATGTGTATCGCGCTCTACGGGTCAGGCCCGGTGCACGCCCCGTCGCCATCGCCCGGCCTCGGCTGCAGCAAGTGGCTCGCAACCGATGCGAGCTGGCTGCCCTCGTCGGCGCCCTGCCCCGGGCGCCGCCGTGCCCCGCGCGCGGGGGCCCCTCGAGTCGCCGAAAAGTGCTTGGCACCTACAGTTCGTTGCTTCCTTGGCGTCGAACAATCTCTTGCATCTTTCATGGTGCCCCAGCCTGGGTCTGATGGCGCCCGTCATCGCAAGCCATGGGTCCGCTTCGCTGAGCTGCCCGACGATGAGGCGGCCTGGCAGAAAATGGAAGGGCAGATTCGCGTTGGCCATGGTCGCCACAGGAAGAAGCGCCCTTGGAGCTGGTTCGCAGCGCGTTCGGGATGGAAGTGGAACCGCATCGTGCGCGAGAAACCCGAGCGCATGCAATGGCATGCTGCATTTGCTCGAGGGGCGCGGTTCGGTGGAGCTGGATGCGAGGAGTTCGTAGTCATCGCGGTGCTCTCCAAGGCGCCCGGCCCTCTCCCGCGCGAGGCTATGGCCGAGATGAGGGAGGTAGCCGCCGCGCTGCCTGAGTGCCAGGCGAAGGCCTTCCTCGCCCCGCGCGAGAAGCCCGTCGCCCAGCCGAACGGGCCACATCTTCTGCCCGAGGCCGGGTGCCAAGCTGCAGAGGTGGCTGGGCGCCGGGCAAACCGTTCTCTCCAGGCTGCACTGGATGCTCGGCTTCGCGTGGAGAAGCAGGTGGAGGCGGCAGAGCGCCTCGTTGAGGAGCGCCCCCTAGGGGAGCAACAGGCTGAGGCCAAGGTAGCGGGGGCAGCCATGCGCGCTGTCGCCAGGGCGTCGCCACCCGCCAAGCAGGAGAGCGTCATTCGCCTGGACAAGCTGTTGTCTGAGATTGGCGCGGGGTCAGGCTTCAAGATTGAGCTCGGCGGCGTTATCGATCTTATCGATCTCGACGGACCCGTCTTCCGAGGAAGATCGCACCAGTTCCCGCTCATTTGAGGAGGAGCAGGTGGGCAGGGTCAAGGAGTGCCCCACGGCTGCGTTTACCGACGTCGCCGCAACGGCCAAACAGCATCGCGAGGCCCATGCGGGGCGGGTCAAGGAGCTTGACAAGAAGAAACGCAAGATTGGTGTCCTCGGGGGAGCTGAGGGAGAGCTGGCAGTGAGCGGAGGCTCACAGGCATCCAGCGCGGCGGCTCCAGGAGGTGTCCCGCCAGCGCGCCCAGCCAGCCTGGCGCTGTCAGCCGACTTCCGCCAGCGCGCCTTCCAGGCCCTCCATCGGCGGCCGTCATCCTAGCCAGGACAGCTACTCGCGGTGCCCAGTGCGGATCGCCGCCTTCCGTGCGCTGCTGGGTTCAGTAAGCTTGCCATGCTTCCACAGTTTTGCCGCGTCTTTGCGCGGTTGTGTCAGGCATCTCCCAGCGGGGCCCCCCGTGGCCGCCAGGTGGTTTCTCGAGGCCTCTGCAGATGTAGTCTCGTTGGCCGAGCGAGCGTCGCATGATGGGTGCGAACCTCCAATCCATGACCAAGGAACTGCATTTAGCTGGGTGGAGGATAGTAGCTCATCAAGGTCACATCACTCAGGCAGGGGACTCCTCCGCCGGGGCGATGGTCGTCGCACGCCCCCATCTCCTCCTCTCTGACCTCGCCCACCTTTCCTCCGCATGGAAGTTTCCTGAGCCGACGAGTCGTTGGCTTCTACCTGCGCGAGTCCGTTGGCCCCATGGGCCCCAACCTGAGGCTTTTGAGTGACCTCGGTGCGGTGCTCTCTGTTGATGAAGGTCAAATTATAGTTTGTGGGAACTGGATCATGCCATTTGAAGCTCTCGGCCCGGTCGGTTTCCAGAGGTGCCTCAAGCTAGTGCTGGTGGACATGGCTGGCGTTTCCTGTATTTGTGAGGTTGCTGACCGGACTAGCTTCATTGAGAATATGCTTGTGAGTGACCAGTTGAAAAGGGCAGTGCTCTCCCAGGGGCAGGATGATTCGGCTCCCTGGGGCGCCCATTTTGGCTTTTGTTTAAGGGTTTGCGCTGCCCCGGGGCCGCGTTGGTCCATCCCGAGGTCCAGGGCTCCGCCCTGCAGTGACTGCATCTCCAGGCTCAGACTCGTTCCCTGAAGCATTCCGAGCCGCGGCGTTTCCAGGGCGATCTCGGCGCGCCCACCCTGAATTCTTCTGGGCTGGGCAATCCTCCTTCGGCTCAGGCGCAGCGCGAGCGTTTTGGCATTTGGGTTCTGGCAGTGGAGCTCGGCAGGAGATGGCGCTGCATTCATAGGAGGGCCCGACTGTTCCGAAGCGTGCTGAAGCGCCCAGTGCAGTGAATCGCCAGGCTAGGTTCTGGCAGAGCCTTGCGATCCAGCTGCCCGCCCGAAGCTTCGCGATTTGCCTGGGGGCGAAGCCGGCCCCGCGCGCCACGGCCCTGTTCAGCGCGGCATTTCCAGAGGCTGGCGCGAAGATTGCAGCGCTTCGTCCCCCCCCGCCCTTCAACGAAGATAACGAGGAAGAGTGTTATTAACTTGGCTTGTAGCCGGCCCGTCTTGCCAGGCTTCCCGGCGTCCCTCTGCGCCCCTCTGGCGCGAAATTATCGAGCTCGTCGATGATCTCGGCGCCAAGTTCGCCAGTCGAGCAGCAGCTGCGTTCCAGGCCCACTGGGGAAAGTTGCTCAATGACGGCCCGGCGGGCTCTGCGCGCGCCGCCAAAAAAATACCCCGGCCAGGAATTCTGCCGCGCCGCCCGAAATCCGGCGAGCGAAGGGGGGGTCGCTGCATACGCGTCTGAGCACTCGGAGTCTCAGGCGTCGGCGCGGCCTGGCTGCTGGCAGCGGCGCCCCCCTGATTCAGCTCGGCATTGATAGGCGCAGTTGCGGCCCGATGCTGGGGGCGCCCCCCCCCCCCCCGCCCCCTTCGACTCGGTCGCAACTGCGCCGCGTTCCATCGAAGATCCTGATGGGCGGGGGGCGGGGCCCGACGCGGGCCCCCCTCGTCTAGTCAAAGATGCCCGCGTGGAGGCCGAAGAAGCCTTCCTGGAGCTTCTCGCTGCCATCGAAGACTCGCCCACCCCGCCCCTTGCGCGAGCCCGCTATCTCGAAGAAGCTTTGCTCGACAAGCCAGACGGCGACCTCCGCCTCGTAGCCTTGCTGGGCGATGCGCGCGCTGCCGCGCTGTGCTCAAGGCGCCCCGAAGCGTCGGCCTAGGGCGAGGCCACCGCGGGAGCGTGGAATGATATCGCTGACGGGGCGGCCGGCGTGGCGGGGCGGGCGGATGAACTCGACGCGGATGTTTCCAAAGGCTTCGCGGTCGGAGGTGGTCTCGTTGACCTTGCCCAGATGCGCGGCCGAGTCGGCGCGCCAGAGTTGGTTTCCTAGGCGGAATTGTTCAAGTGCCCTCTTCGCCCCCTTGCGCTCGAGGCCCATCTAGTTCCCCGTCCCCTGACCTTGGGCCAGGCTGCGCGCCCGGGAATTGCCCCGTCGGGAATGGCGCTGCCCGGGCGAGGTCGGGCCGCGTCTCTTTCGCGCGGGCAGGTGCGCGCCCCCCCCCGGCCGCCGCGCGCGCCGCGCGCCGCGCTGGGCAGTGGAT